ACAATTGGCAGGGTACAACAATATAAAACTTGAAAATATATATTATAATAATTCAATTATTTAAATGCGTAATATAAATTCGTAAATCGTTATTTATTCGACCAACGTAAATCATTGTGCAAATACATTTTTTGATGAGAAAATAGTATGTAATTTAACTGATTGAGAAAATATCTTTTTTCTTTTTAATCTATAAAATTATCCTGGAAAGAACTATTTTGAAAGCATATTTTTCTGAATTTCCTTTTTGCGTTTAAAGATACAACCTTTTTGGTTTACAACGCGCTAACTTGAAAATAAATTAAAACTTGGTAAATTAAAATTTGCATATGAAATCTGACGGCAGGGTCAGAGACAACAGGGGCAAGCCGTGTTTAAAAACAAATTAATATTTATTGACGGTTTATGTACAAAATAAATTAAAACAAATGGGATTTTAAGTATCAGCTACTAAAACTATGTGTATGGTAACCTAACTAGAACGACGTACTTTTTGCAATACAATAAGTCAATGTGTGGCGAGTGCAGTAGGTATATTCATTGTGTATGAAAAAGCTAGGCCGTAGAAACATTCTTTTTAAATTATTCCAATTTTTCTTGGTATAAATTTATAGTTTTAAACTTTTACTTGATAAAAAATACACATATAATGAATCATCTCTGATCTAAAAAAATGTGTATACTCTACAGAAAACGGACCGATGATTAAAACAATTCTCGTGGGTCTAACTATACAAATAAATCACAACATTGTAGATCCATAACCTACTCCCGCCGCTCCTCAATGGAGCCAACATATAATAATATACAGCAAAAAATGTAACAGTACGTATAATGGAAGTTGGAAATAAATATTTATCAATAAACTTGCTTTCTAGACGGACCACGGGGTAGGGGGTCTAGCAGAGACACCCTCGGGACTGGTTGTAGGATATTTTTCCAGTGTGTAGCACAAAAAAAATTATATTTTTTTTTACTAACCATTGAAATATAAAATACAAACGTATTTACATTAATAATTATTGTACTTTTTCAAATAATATATGTAGTCAAAGTTTATTAGATTCCTTGGGTCGTTCATAATAAGGTTTATGATTTTATGTAACTATCGATTTGGCTGAAATAGGTTGAAAATATTAATTTATTAAAAAAAACTCTGTACGTGAGAAATTTATCGCATTGATTCGAAAATCATAATTATCAACTCTCTCTCTCTCTGCTGATTTCAGTCGGATAAATAAATGAAAGATTGATTCTGGCAAATCAACAAAATAGTTCATAAAATAAAATTATACCATCCACAGCCGGATTTCCGTAGTCTTATCCGAAACTAAAATTGTTGAAAGTCGTTGAAACAAAAATCGATTACTTTTCTCTGATTATTTGCACCAAGAATTATTTTAATTGAAAGATTCAATGTTAAAATAAAACAAGGCACGCGTAACGCGTTTAACACCAAACTCCTGTTCGCACATACAACTGCATTCGAGATTAGGATATTAATGGTTTTTGTGGGGGGCTATAAAAAAGCCGAAAATATTTTAGCCGACAGTATTTTAGCCGAAAATATTTGGTCCGACCATAATTTTACCGAAAACTATTATAGCCGAAAATAATAATTCCGAAAATATTTACGCCGACCGTATTTTAGCCGACACTTCTGTTATCGGATTCATTGTGTCTGCGCAGGCGCTGAGTAACTCATTTTGGTTTCTGCGCATTCGCGCTATTTTGCCGCCTGGTGTCCGACACTCAGTACCCGTTGCAGGCTGCGGTCGGCGCCCGGCGGTACTTTTGGATTTTTAACGTATAAAAAACTTAAAACACGTTAAAAATCTAAAAAGTACTGTTAATAGAATCGAAAATTTAGTAAGGTTATGGTGAACAATTATATTGTTTACTTTTTTTTATCAAATTGTAAAAAAGGTTCTAAAAAACATGTGATGCCCGAAATAATATTTTATTTTTATTTGGGTTACGTTACCTATGGTTAGGTTATTAATGGTGGGAGAGTCTATCAACTAATCGGGATATTAAAAAACAAAAACGTCTTGATATGTTCGTTTATTGAAAATGCTCTGATATGTTTTTTCTTGTCTTATCTTTTGCAAATAGAGTAGATCAGCTAAATTCCTAACAAATCATTATTGACTTTACATTCATATTTGTTAATGGTTATTTACTATAAATCAAATTTCAAAATTTTAAACATCGGTGTTCTCTAGAGCAAAATCAGTTTTTAAAAAATAAATTATATAAACATAAGATACATAAAATATATCGATTTCTTAAAATTAAAAATAATACTTTAGATTTTAAACTATGGTTCTATTGATTCCTTTGAACTAATTTATCTTTATGATATTTTTATTCTTAACTGTCGAATATTGTCATTATATTTATTTAATTATTGTATTGTGTATCCTAACTGTGTAAAAATTGTCTCTAGTTAATTGTGATATGTTATTTTAAATTGATGTCTTAAGTATTTTAATATTGATTATTAATTATTATGCTGTATTGATTGGCAACCCAAATTGTGGGCTAAAAAAGTTAGTATCTCTCTATACTTGTAAAATGTAATCGAGTAATGAGTTATACAGCGATACGAATTCTTTATCAGTTTATTTTTAAATACATTTTTCCCCGTTAAATTAATTGTAAGCAAATCTAACCCGTGTCTAGGAATTATTGTAAAATAACCTTATTTTCACAGTAAATATAGTCTTGCTATAATCTGTGCTTAAGAGTTTTTCAATTTGCAATAATTAATTTCACTAAATGTCTATACAAATTTGGTGAATTTAGTATTAAATCACTGTATGTATTCACGCAAATCCGGTTTTTACGTTACAAATTACAGGGCAGTAGCAATACTATATGATGTAGACAACCCATAATACAACAACAAAAAAAATGATTATACCAACACATTACATACAGAACATTATAACCCTATAGTTGAAAATAGTAACGTAATATTCCAAAAATACATATTTCTATAAAATTCTATGACCAAATTTCATTATTTTTCAAAGGGCAAATCATTGTAAAACTTACACCTACTAACTACCCCTTCAGCTTTGTATCAAAGCTACAATATGAAAACTTTTTTTGGTGTTTATATTATATATTTTGCCAGGTAGGTATCATTATACTTTGTGTATATACATTAACAAGGCTAACATCGTGACAAATTTATTTAAGTACCAATAACAAATGACAACTCTGTTGTGGTTTGTTAATACTAATAAAATATATTACAATTTTTATAAGACATTTTCAGTGTTGAGTGATGAGGGGATGGGTGTAAACTACAATTACTAATAATTCAAAATATCATGTTGCATAATTTTATTTATGAATATAAATAATATTTATAATCATGTCAAATTGAAATAATTAAATTATAGGTATATACTAATTTATATTATAAAATCAGTCACTAGTTATCATTGCAACGGTCAACTTGTTTATCCTCTTCATCCATACATAACTTTTTGTCTTAGATTTTTCGTTTGCAAAAGGTCGGATAATATCTACGAAGTCTAATGATTTTAAAAATTCACTTACGATGCTCAAAGTTCCAAGATTTTAGTATTTTAGTTTGGAGGTTATATTTTATTGATCTAAATATAATTGCAACACTATCATTATGTGGCATTAGGCATTGTTGGCAACTTTAATATGATTTTTATCTTTTTAACAATACTTTATTTTCTGCAAAGGTATTAAAATCGGAAACTGAATAGATATAACATAAAACTGGAATGCCGTTATTTAAGACCTTAACCTAGTCATGGTAGCCTTAAATACCGGTCTAGTAATTTGAACAGAATTTAATAAAGCAACATCTATTTTTAAAAGTTGCGTGTTTTCAATAAAGAAGTCACATTTAAAAATCATTTTCTTCGCTTTTTTTTTGCATGAAATAACTTGAGGCGGAGTCCAATACACTTGTTATGGCCCTTTTTTTATTTTTATAGTTTTGTTTAGTTGAATATTATCATTAAAAGTCAACACTAACTAAAAAAAAAAATGTTCTGTAACTTCTATTACTGTGATCTCCAATCTCTTGGTTTGATACCAAATTAATCATGAAATTTCTATTCAATATAGTAGAGGATTTTATTAAATATTTATTAAGATATATTCATTAAAAATTATATATTATATTATGTAGTATGACAATTGAATCGGTAGCAATAATTAATATTTCATAATATAAAATATTGGCTATACTGTAACGGACTAAGCTCACTGAGCACATGCGTGATTGACCTTCTGAAGTACTTGAGCTCGTGACATCTATTATTTCTAGATAATCTAACCAAAATGGCCTTTTTTTATGAATTTAGAGGGATTCATTGATATCTGAATCGATATTATATGCCAGTGGATACAAACTAATGCAGCGTACATAAACAGTGTTAATTAAATTAAAAAACAATGTTTTGCAATATCAGTTTTAGGTATTAGGTATATAGTTTATCAGATAATGATTAAAAAACTGATAAAAAAAATATGTGTCGGCTAAAATATTTTCGGCCGATTTATTTTCGACTTAAATATTGTCGGCTACAATACTGTTCTGTTAATTTATAGTTCGGTAGAAATACAGTTCTGTTAGTTTGTGTTTCTGATCATTTATTTTTCGGCAAAAATACGGTTCTGCCGATTTATTTTCGGTGTTTTTACGCGCCCCCGTTTTTGTAACATATTTATTTTCTTATTAGACACTGCCTCGAATGTGTCAATTGGACGGCACTTTATATTTCAATACTGCGTGACTAAATTTGTTTGTTTGCCGTATAAATTATTACCCTTCACGTAGATTTCACTGCGGTCCCTTTTGTTTAAGCATAAATTATTACGTTTTATAACTAAAAGTTTGTTGTGTATACTGTATAGTTCCTGTATACAGCCTCCCTCGAGTTCTCCAGCTAAGCACATGAAAAAAAAACACAAACACCGAGAATAGAAATAAAATAAATACCTACTATGTGTACATTCCGTTTAGCGTAAAATCAAATTAAGAACAATGAAATTTCTTGTATTTTGTCCTTTAGCCAATGTTCTGTATCATGGCTTACATAAAATTACACTTTTAATCACTGCACAATTTTAACGAATACTTGTAAGTAAAATAAAACTAAAATGGGAAATTGGTTTCCAGCTACGCGACCAAGCTAAAATACAGTGATAATTTGTTATGAATAAAGTGGTAATTTACGATAATACGGATTGTCGACATTTGCATACTGTTCACACTGTTTTTTTTTGGTTAAATATTTGATTTCTTTTGGAGGATTCAGAAATTGGAACGAACCAGGCACCAGCTGCGTGGCTTACATGTAAAATTGTATGCAAATATATTTTTGCAGCGTGGAGTGATAAATATACGACTATAACACTACAACAAGCCCTTAAAAAACACTATAAATTAAAAACGTCATCTACATTCAGCATCGAAAAAAAAAAAAAATAAACCCGCATGTTAAGTTGTCGCGGTTGTGTTCGGTGTGAAAACCATCACAACCGCATTGCACATTCATATTTTATTTTTTTGTCACAACATATAAAATGAGTATATTCGACCTGTGTTGTGCGAAAATGTTGTGTTGTTAATAATTAACAAATAGTTATTAAGTTAACAGTTTCAATTATGCCTAACGATTAATGCGTGTAATTTTACTAATTTAATCACTTTATTCAATTAGTAGTCTATATTATAATTGGCGATAACCAGTTTTGAAAAATTACTTTTAACTTTAAATTTGGTTAAAAATTTAGAGTAGGTGTACAATTTAGGATGGGAAGTCCTGAAAATATTTGATATAAGACAACAAATTATTTATGCTGGTCAATACCGTTTTGGGTACATAGTAATTTAACTGTTTGTAGTTACTATTATGTATATCTGTATAAACCATTTCAAACCAAAACAATATATTTGTATATAATTATTCACAAATTTGTACGCTAATGTGTTTTTAAAAAAACTATTTTCTATTGACTAATTATTAAAATGTCTTACCCGACTGCGGTTTTCTTATTCGCCATTTATTCAATCATTATCAATACAACTTGTCTACCAATACCAGCTGAGAACCTTTGTGATTCGAACACTCCTGCTGGAGTGGTCGACTCGCGCAACGACATCAAAGGGCTACATGTGTTGGATTATTTATTATATGGAATTTATGGATTTTTTATGATATACAACTTATACTACGTAATATGGTATATGTTTATCGTTGCTAAAAAATACCTATCCGGTGTGACTCCGAGTGCAAATCAAGAGCCAATTATCGCCCCGGAAAATGCGTTAGAACAAACAACCGATGTCGGCAAATGTCCAGAAACCCACATTAATATGGACCTGAAATGCGAGTCAGATAGCCCTTATCTACATGTCTAAGGTAGGCAAACAACTGTTAACAAACTGCTCACAGAAATTCACATTTTTTTTTTTACAGTTTGCAACAAAAACTATTAAAATATAAAATACCGGCGTGAAGTTCTTGATGACGCTTAAAAAAAATGTTGCTTACTAGGACTTAAAAAAAAAAAATACTATAGTTATTTGTTACATATTTTGATTGCTGTATTATTAAAATGCATTTAACAGGTTATTGGGACCAATGCTGTTTTTCCGGGTTGTATGCAAGACAATTTAGTTCGTCCAATATGCCAAATGTTGTTGTGTCAGAAAAAATTACAAAAATTAATTATTTGATTATTATTAACTGATAATTTATTATATTTAAATATATTGCAATTGCTGTATAAAAACAGTATTATGTATTATTAAATATTATGATAATTATACAATTTTTTTCGACGTTATTTTTTTAAGCTTTATTAAAGTTTAAACTTGTTACAACATTACTTGCATAATATTATGTATTTTAATCGTATGAGCTGTTATCAATATCTATTTGATTGTTATCGGAACCGATGTCTACCATAATACCAGAATTTGGACATGGGAATAAGCGACATGGCCTTGAATCATAATTATTCAAATAGAGGTATATCAAACATTTTGTTTTACTTTTAAAAAAAATATATTATTTATGATTAATTATGCATAAAACTTTCAGCTTGTATGATTGTAACTTTTTTGTTTCTATGGTTACCACAGTGTTCTGAATTGTAATTTTGTAATCTAATCAGGACTAAAATCTTAGTCTGTGATTCGTGTAGTAGTATTATAAAAATAGGCTAGACATAAACAATTACCAACTAACTACTGTTTTTTAAATAGAACAGTGTAATTATCACTTTAGTAGTCAAATATTTTTCGCTATATAGATCAGGTACCTGGCACTATGTCATTCGAATAAATTGAATTAATGCTCTATTCGTATTTGGAATTCTATACAGATTCACGGGTCATAGAAAATGTTGAAAGTATAAAATCAAAATTTATTACAATGAAGATTTTTTCCATACATGAAGCAATATAAATTTATAAAATATTTTAATACTATGTACTATTATTGTGAATTCAATTCAATTGGCACCTATATCAACACATCCTATTTTCATATCTTTCCTCATGTGTATCAATATAAATTGCATGTAATATAATTCCTCTGATTTATTCCTTTTTATAGTTATAAGTTAATAATATAAAAAATAAATAATATCAATAAACTTAAAGAAGGCTTAGGACAAGGGTGGCTGGCCCCAAATAGTTAGGATGGAAGTGAAGGACAAAAAGATAAATGAACAGCTGTAATATGATTTAATATGTAGATACTCAACAGTTTGTGACTTGAGTTAATCTTTAATTGCGATTCCAATTAAAGATTTGTATTTTATTTTTTAGTCGGTGATTAAATTTAATCAATTTAAATAGAAATCAAATATTTACATTATTTAAGTCTTCTTGACTTTAAGCTAAGATCGTTTTATAATGATGCGTTTTTTTTTTACAATTATTATTGTAATTTTTGTGCTTGTCCTAACTTCCTAACACCAAACCGATTTCTTTGATCAGTGTCCCAATTGACTTTCCTTAATTGTCTTCTCTTTATAAATCAGAAAACCACAAAAACTGAATGACTTTCCAAGTTTTAACATGGTTTGCACGACCAAATCCAAATGTTTTCGAATACTTGAAAATAAGACAAGACAAATTAACATAACATGTGCGTGTGTATATTTAATTTATTTATACATAAACTTATTTATTTCGCAAAACAGAAACAAATCGTTTAACAGGTAATTTACTAAATTATAAAATATCACCCCCATGCAGTATAAATTATTATGATTTATGATACATATGCAAATAAATTATGAGGTTTTATGAGATAGTAATAAATTAAGCAGTGATACTCTATTAGGTACCTACGATACTAATATTAGACTGTTGGTTTCCTTTTTAACTGTATATTTTTTTATTATATTAAAATTTGAGCTATAACTTATCACCCTTCAGAGCCAAGAGCCCAATGCCTAAAATCACAATAGTTAATAATAATTGTACTTTTGCGCTTAAAATGTAACTGTTTAGTTTTTAATGAATGTTTTTTGTACTTGATTAATAAGGAAGGATTTTATAACCGACATAATGTGTATAATATTATGATAATTTTTTTTTTTAATAAAAAAAAATATTAATATTACGAGTTTTTTGTTTTGGTTTAAATTATTTTTCAAGTGTTCAACGTATTTTAATTTATAAAAAAAAATGAGCTAAAACTTAAAACCATAAAGTCGGATTAGGAAACCCTATTTATTTCTGCTGCAACAGTGAGATTTTCTGTAAAAATATACTCTTGTTAATATTATTATCATTTATCTACATCACATTTAGTCGTAAAAACTGAAATGTTTATTTTGAAGTGTGTAGTTAAATAAACAATGATTGTAGTTAGTCTAATAGCATGCGGTTTATGATTTAATATTAAGTTGAATAAAACTATATGAATTTGTTATATATAAATTACTCCTAACATTTTTTCTCGTGTTTTGACTAATAAAATATTATATTCCAAACAAATTTCAAATTTGTCCGACCGTTTTTTTTAATCAAATGCATACCTGCCAAAAATACATTAAGATTAATGTAAGATTTTTTGTCGGTATTTCTGTTTGAATAATGACCGATGTGCTGCTCGAGAGAATTGGTTTCGACTTTATCGGGTTGAAAAGTTACAATGTAAACAGACAAACGCAAAAAAATCATCTTTGTAAAATCAATTTGTATCGAAACGAAAAGTGGAAAAGTTGTTTCTAAGAAGAGTCGATGTATTATAATGATTTAATTTAAATATACGTTTAGATAAAAATATTTGTAAATAATATGAAACCATTTTATTTTTTTGTTATTGTAAAAGGTATAATAAAAATTGAAGTTACATATTTTAAACATTACATTTGAATCATAAACATAATTCAATAACTTTGGGTAGTTTTATAATCGCATAAATACACAGTTGTACGAGTATGTTTTTTTAGTACTTAAATATTAAAACACGAGAGACTATGTAATATTAAAATGTTTTTTACATTAGGTACATTGTTTTTTTTCTGGAACATATTGTAATATTAAATTTGACTTGTAAGCAGGATAATAGATAACATTCTGGGTAAAAGTATTTTTATGTTCTGTTTTAAGATGTTTTATAGCTCGATACGTCCTGTTGTTTCCCTGGATAATCGTTTAATAATTATCAGCTTACAGTTTACTCATGTTAAGTCGGGCAATAAAAAAAACATATACATGTATATATTATGTATACCTACATCTTATAAAGGTCCATTGTTTTGAAATATTAATTTAGTAAATTAATACAAATAGCTGTCATCAGATCCATATAAAGGTAAAATCAAAATTATATACATGAGTTAGGTCATTAATATAATTACCTAACTTATTATTATATTTTGTGATGATATACGATTTAATCAGGATTTTATATAATAATATTTAATCGTAAAACGGTAGGCATATAGGCGCCGACACATCTAATACAATTGCGATTATAGTTCAAACATAACTACACATAATCGAATGATTTACATTTCATATTATTTAACTAGATGAAATAAAAAAAACCATATTTGGTTTTGTATTTTAACTTGTTGTTGCTTAAATAACCCCTTAATACACATGTCGTGCATCTGCGATGGTGGTGTAATGGTCAGCATAGTTGCCTTCCAAGCAGTTGATCCGGGTTCGATTCCCGGCCATCGCATGTAATTTTTGCATTTTTTTTTAAAGGTTTTTATAATTTTGTATTATATTGGATAGAATTCCAAAACAATATTTTATTTTTGGATGTATTTTTTTTTAAATATTAGTTACAAAGTACTAATCCAGTCAAAACTTAACAGCATTTTTTTATACTATATTTTGACTACAAAACTTTTAAAACTTTCTGTAATATAACCAAAATTCTAGTTTTTTTTTTTTTTGAAGGGGGTTTTCAGTTCATTTCCTGGTGGAATATGTTTAAAAATCAGCAAAAGTAGACTTTTAATAAACAAAATAAATTTGAAATTTGAACAAAATATTTTTCACTATACCTATATAGGTACACCACACGTCTTATCCCAAAACTATATTATGTTATATTTATGAAATGAAGTAATGACGCGGTACTCTAACTTAGGACTAACCGTATGATTATTTACAAAATAAAAGAAGTTTTTTTCAAAAGGTAGGCGTGGCTGTGTGGAATAAGTTATTAGTTTCTTTTGTGCATGGTTTAGACGGCTTAGGTTAGGTTAGGTTTTTACTGATACCGAAGGGTGGAAAACTAAGGATAGGTTAGGTTAGATTAGGTTTTAACTGGGACTAAAAGGTAAAAACTAAGGATAGGTTAGGTTAGGTGAGAATGTAGACTACAACCTAACCTAACTACAACTTGTAGTTGTATAATTATATTATTAATATAATTATACATAAATATTATATATTAAATGTTAAATATTTATGCAATGTTATATGCATTGTTGGGTATATTATTTAATAAAGCCTACTAAAAAAAAAAAAAAATACAAATATTAATTATAAATTGGTTGAAGTTTGTAAAGGGTAAATATGTTTTTAAAATAGTACAATATACTTATTATTTATGAATATATATTTTTTTTATTCGCCATATACATATTATGTATTAATTACTATTTGTCCGAATGACTAAAAAATAGTAATAATAATAATGATACAATTGTTGATTTTATCTTAACTCGAAAAAACGTATTTAAGTTGAACCAAACTAAATGTTTTAGATCATTATTGTACACCATTGATTTAATATTCTTCACGGCCAAAGTTGAAATGCCATTGAAGTCGCAATAAATATTCATCAACCTGCGCCACAACATTGTTCAAACTTAAAAACGTGTGATATATTGTAACTGATCACAAGAAACCGTTGTGTGTCTTGTGTAAGACATGAATAATAATAATTGTTAACGCAATAAATATTCAAAATTAATACCCAGAAGTTATGTTTAATACGCAGTTGAACGAATTTTGAGAAATGCTGAAATCGATTAATCACAGCATTTAGCAAAACGTCGTTGTTTTAACAAACGAAATTTAATAATAGTAATTAGTCAAGTAATTATTATTTAATAAGTATTTATTACTATTGAATCTCGAACCAATTATTACTACTTTTTTTTTGTACAAATTGTCGAACTCGTTTGTCTTTATTTCGTTTTATGTTAGTAAAACATCTTCAATATGTGTGTTTTTTTATTATTATTTTTGAAGATGTGCCCGCGAGCGTCGTGGAGTAGTCTTATGGTCCAATAGGCGGTGTACTTAGCTTTCGGGGTGGTACCATATAAACAATTCAATACAACTCGGTGGTTGTTTTGCGAAAAAAAAAAAGAAAAACGTAACATTTGTAAGACAAAAAAAAAGCAGAAAAATGTCGAAACAACAGATGCTTTTCACACTATATACAATGCACTAGGCAACGTCGTGGTGGCGATAATCGACGTACAGAGCACACGTTTCGGATGACGTCATTGGTCAGAAGCTGGTAAACGCTCTCATCCAAAAGAAACGCTGTGCCCGGCCGTCGCCATTAAACGGTAACAGGAAATGACAGATTAAACGATAAATAATAGACTTACTGAGCCGAGTTGATCGCCCGAGTTGCGAACAAACCTATTATACAGCTTTGGATAATGTTTTGCACGGTCGACGGTTGTACATAATATAGTACAATAATTAAAATAATATACATATACATACTATAATATATACGACATATTGATATTCTGCAAAAGTCTAATAGCAATAATTGCAAGTGTTTGAAGAAAAAGTAAGTGTCTTATCCGCAATGAATCAATCTGTACGTATCCTGTACATACGATTTCATATCAACGCGAACCGTCAGCCAAAGAAAAATGTGAAGAAACGCGATTTCCTTATTTATATTATAAATAGTATAGTATAGACTATCGCGTGCTCGGACGATCAATCACACAATATAATAGGTATCATGTGTGCAGTGTGAATAGTCCTAGATTATTTCATAATATATTATATCATTGGTAGGATTTTGGATTGGATCTTTACCGTTCTAACCTGATGAACCGTGTATAGATATTTTTTTATAATTTGTTTGAACATCATAAAATGGTACATTGCAACCGACCAAATGGAATGACTACTATCTAGATTGGCCACGGAAGTATAAATATTATTTGCTTCTATAATAACCCCCCCGCCCCCACGCGCATTTCTGTATTTTAATAAAGCTCACAATAAATTTGAAAAGGTAAAAGCAAGATAAAAAAAAAAATCACTACATACTAGATTATGTTAACCGAGTTTTGGCCAATTCGATATAGTTGGGTGACATGGTAATATTGTTTTATGAGTAGACAAGTAGACGCTGTTGTTTCGAAAAATGTATGCGTTTGTGAACTATATTATAATATGTCTAATGTCGGATACCAACTTATAAAGTATAAGCTTGTCACTTTGATAAATTAATAAAAACAAATGTTGTCGCGTAAAATTTTATACCAAAAAACTTGTTTCTTCGATAATAATTTCGGGGCAATTAATCAACGTACTTGCTCTCATAGTAATTTTTTCGACTTTTTTTTTGCTTGCAATAGTTTTCAGACGTTAGGCAAAGTTGTTGTTGTTTTTATTTTCAAATAAAACAATCAACAAAAAAAAATGTAGTATATTATGAATTATGATTAATGCATCTTGAATTTAGGACTACTCGCACTTAATTATATTACTAGACCAGTAAGAATAAACTTTAAGCGAAAACAAAGGGTAGTGATAAAAGTTAAAATACAAAAATCAATTATGAACGCTTAAGACTTTTCACCGTCTAACGTCGGTCGTCCATCTTAATTCTCTCTTTCCATTCTTCTCTGTCTAATAGTATCGCTACCTCTCTAATTTAAACTTCTTCGTTTTTCTCTCTTTTCTCGCATTGTTTCTAAACCGCCTTGGTGTGTTTTTTCTACTATATTGGCGCAATTCTTGAACTATTTTTCACCATATTATACTCATACCATTCTCTAATACCAACTCTAATACACAGTAATACTAGAACCGTTTTACAAAAATATAAAGCGCAATACTTGTCCAAAGCACAACAGTTCTGGTTGTGTCATTTGCAGTTAATAATAATAATAATAATAATAATTTATATGGTACGTCACGTGTGCAATAAAGCCGTCGTTTTCATTTATTGCGTTGCGAGCCGACTTTGTTGAAAACTAATTGATTTCATATCATGCTTTTCACAATAAATGATTAGAATGTCATTCTGATAATATAGAACATTTCGATAATTTTTCAGATTGTTTTCCCCAGATCTTAATCACAGCTTTCTAAATTCTTTACATTTTTTTTTGTTCTTAGACTCTAAGCCTGACATTAGTTGGTTGTTTACAATATACGAGTTATTTGGAATCAATTTTAAGTTAGTTTACTGTTAATCTTTTTTTAAATAATAACATATTTTATGTATATTATTTTCGGTAGATAAGATGGTTGAACAGCTTCAAACTGAGCTAATAGTGTTAATCCGTTGCTCTAGTTAGAGGACAAACCGGTTAATAATTATGCGTTGTTGTTATTTTTGTTTTCAGCATGTAACCGAATCATATGCACGGAGCTGCCTAAATCGTTCAGATCCACTCTAATGGCGTACCTGCGCACACTTAACCTGACGCAGGATGAGTTCCAGTACCTGCTGAACATAACGTCGTTCACCGCTGAACACAACATAACGTCGTTCACAGCCGGGCATAACGTAACGCTGTTTCAGGCGGACAAGCCCGAGACGGGCTGCTATTGCGGCGAACAGGTCAAGAAGTACGCGGTGCAGTTCCGCGTGCTCCACGGCTACGTCAGCCTGTTCCTGTGCGTGTTTGGCGCGCTGGCCAATTTGCTCAACATAGCCGTGCTCACCCGCAAAGACCTGGTGGGCTCGCCAATCAACCGCATACTGTGCGGCCTGGCCGTGGCCGACCTGGCCCTGATGGTCGAGTACATGCCGTTCACGTGCTACATGTACTTGTCGACGTCCAAGAAAGAAGAATTTTCCCACCTGGGCGCGGTGTACGTGCTGCTCCACACGTACGTGTCGCAAGTACTGCACACCACCTCGATAGCGCTGACGCTCATACTGGCCATGTGGAGATACATCGTCGTCAAGTAAGTGTAATATCTTACATATAGGTACTCTATCCGTTATGCCAAATACCAGATTTCATATTGCGTCTGATCTGCATCCGGAGAAAAATCATAACTGCAATACGGCCTCTAACGGTAGTTATTTTAAGCAAACCCGAATGGCTTTATAATTTATTATATTAGATAAGTCATATATACTATAGTTACACAATTAGTTAGTAAATAACTACAGTCACTTTCAGCATAAAAATTAGATTGTATTCAGTCACCAGAAAAATATACCATTTTGAAGTAAAAAGGTAAAAAAAAATGGGTTGACGCACAAAAATAAGTGTAGGTATATAAAATAGAAAAAAAAAAGAATGATTTGTTAACCTAATAAAAAAAAGTAGTCTGGCGTCAGTACAGTGAGTTTAGCCGCAAGGTCTTAGCAGGTATTATATTAAATTATGACTGAAACGATAAATTCACTCTCGAAAAAATGCTTTCATTCGAATACCTTCAGTCAGGTCAGGTTAAGTTAATTTTAAGTCCTTAAATTCTAGAAATTTATGCAAAAATAAGGAAATAAAGTTTCCACCCTCCTTTGGGGAATACCGGAAAGGGTTAATTGTGTTTCCTTAGCTGTTGACTTTAGATCGGTGCCAGCGCTGGCTGCATCAGAATTTCGTGCGAAACTCATAATTTTAATTTATGCTGAATTGGGTAAGTCCGAGTTGCAGTCTTTAAGATAAGCAACCGAGAATATCATTCCGGGAATTTAATTCTTCCTAAACTGTAACACTTCCCTTTACACTTCAGATAATATACCTAGTAATTATGACTATCATTATTGTCTTAGTATTGCAACACTGGTGTAGCTAAAAAATTGTACATTTTTTCATATTTTAACAACACTTATAAAAAAGCTAAAAAAAATACAGCGCACATGTACACTCGGTGGGTATATCTACACTTCCCGGTGAACAATTAAAGTAGGTCAAGTATGTTAGATAATATGAATAATTTCTATTTAGTGTATCCGAGTAACTCCAAGACTGTTTTCTATAACGCGCATTAATGTGATTTTACTTAGCTTTTGACACCAAGTACGTTTTAATTAAAACGTCTGTAATTAAAATGACTTGATCGATGAAGACATTTTGACGTAACCTATTAAATTTAGTTTTCAATAAAATCTATTAAAAATTCTATCAAAGTATAATTTGGCACTCGTAAAATGACACAACAATATGAACAACAAATTTCTAAAACACTCTAAAAATTGTGTAAGCTTACTTCTAGATCCGACAAAAATCAGGGCGTACTTTTAAACAAGCAGATATGAGTTGACACTATTTGCGTGTGGTAAGCTTATAATTTATGGTATTTGATAATAGTTTATAAAGCTAAAAAACTGATATCCCTTTGTTTCGCTGAACTTTTGTTGGTATACACCGTTGTATATTATATTTGTCTACTACCGTCCAAATACTTCACTTCCTCACAATAATTATTCTACCTAGCTTGTAGAACGGTTTTTAAAAAAAATAAATTTGTACACAGACAATATAAATTATATACATATATACTTTACACGGGTACTCAATTCGGCACGTTTACTCTTTAAGTCATAATGTAGCTTAGTTAAAAAATATACTAACATAAATGAGTAGAACATTGAACGCTTTCCTTTTCTTATATTTAAATAAGAATAATTAACTTGTAGTTACCGAATTTGCATACAAATTGCAATAATAAATTATTTTGCTCAAAATCGCTTTAAATGTCTCTCCTGTTTTTTATATTTACAAATCTGAGTGTAGATAGTTTTATTAAATCTCTTAATGGTTGAAGCTGAAAAAAATAGAATTATTTCAATTACAGTATAAAGTATTACTAATGTCGATTTCTAATGGTTTTATGTATGTTATCAAATTGGAGTAACCGTTGAACACGAACATCGTTAACACTATGAAAGTAAGGGATGTTTACATCTCGGGGTGCAAATAACAGCTATACCATGTATCTTGAACCTAACGAACGGAAACTTAAGTTCAAGTTAATTATAACGATATACTTACCACTGCCGCGACCCCAACAGATGTTTACTTATGTAACGGATTGTACATAAGACTATATAGATATTATTATGTAACAATACGGTATATATGATTGAGAACATTGTGATGTAATACTTACTTTACGCTGCGGAGATAAACTGATACATCCAAAACTTATAAACAACAAAAAAAAAACCCTCGAATCCCATTACAGCACACGTGTTGATGTATGTTGTTAAAGGCGTGACGCTTGATTTTATTTTATACATTTTAAATCAGCAGCGTTCGTTGCGTTATTCTGTATTAAAACATGTTACTCAAAGTGGCTTGAATTCGTTCGTTTTCTTAACCGGGAAAGAGAAAAACTTAAATTTGGACCCTAGTGCTGTCCATGTAGCTTGACAAACCAAACAAATATCATGAACCCTTTAGCCCAGAAAAGTTGGGAACTTTTATTTTATTTCACTCTTTTAGGTGTAGTTTTAGGACTTTAAATCTCATATAAATGTTTTATTACAGACAAACAATCGACCCCCCAATCTTGTAAGTACCATTTACTAAAAAATACAATTTCAAGCACATTATAATAGAGTTGTTCAGCACTCAAAGTCATGTGCGGCATTGAATTAGTTTTATATCGTTGTTTTTTTAATTACATAATATTATAAGCATTTGGGCGGATCGGTGGCTATTGAGTATCGTTTTCGGATAAAACAGTATCTCATCCGGTATCCTCTCTATTATATATTTATATAAATATTATAAATATTATACAAATAATTTTCACTGTCTACATATACATAACTACAGTCCGCTTATCCGAAGCTGTTTTCGACACCGCGAAATTATCAATAAATTATTTTTAATAAATAGAACGCCGTTTATCATTCGCGAAGTGTACTCTATACAAAATACTATGTATATATATATATATATATATATTAGTTTTTTCTTTCTCTTAATAGTATAATAATATTTAAAAATAAAAATATATAGCTCTAACTACCCGGCCCGCCCAGGATAACAATTTGTCAGCCGATACATTTTTCCCACATGATTTCACTGCATCAATTTGTCGGACGGAGTCAAGTATTATTCGACGATTAATCAATAAGAGACGTAACCGAAGACTCATTATTGTTAATGAAAAAAATAATATATATAATAGTATTATGGTCGATGGTTTTCAAAAAAAATAAAAAAATACGTAGAAAAATGTAAAAAAAAATCTTCTTTTAAACATATCAATTGCGCTTAAGAAAACGGATATCCCGTTTCACTGTGAATTAACGAGTTAGTGAAATATGAATAATTATTTAAGTACATGTCTGCATCTTGGTGTTCTAAAGGGACTAATCTCATATCTACAAACTTTTGACTGCAATCATTAAAGTTTGCATTTTCCATAAGAGCGCTGGCGTTGAATACCTTTTTAAATAATTAAATTAACATAGCTATAGAATTTTGTAGAGAATGACTTTGAACGACGCAACGGTGTAAATAAGGTGTACACGTACTTTGGCCAAACATTTAGATTGGCTCTTTTAGCATTCAAATTATGTGTTTACATACATATTATACTCAAGTGGGCTTAAAAATTCACCGACCCAAACCGTCTCTTAGTTGTGTTTGTTTTGCGAGTCATCCCAAACATGTATATACAGGGTATGCTGTATACATATTTATACTATTTGGATAAAAGTAATGCTGACATTACTTTTTATACACCGGAGATAGATTAACCAATACAAAAAGCATTGTTCGATTTTACCAAATATGTTGTACCGCACATGGGTTCTTTTTTTATAGACACGTGTAAACACATTTTATTCGATTTTAGGTACATACAATAAACAATGTCGAAAATTTAATATCATGTCTTGAGTACTGAGAAGGTTCTGAAATATTACATAAGAACAATTTATGCAATCGAATCACGACATCACGACATTAAAATCACATGCTACACATTGAGCAGATGTCCACAGAACAAAAATTGGATATTACGGTTTCAATAGAATTAGTATTTATTGTTATTAAACATTTTCATGTTGACCTAATTTCAAATTATTAACGTTTGAGTTTTCTGGTAGAAATTCGGAAACCCATTGTTTGTTTTACAATATTTAGACAAACATATGTTACATTCAATATGAACAAGACTAGAGTGGTTCGGATTAGCCTTTAGAGACCTAAGTCTGTCGTCGAATACGGTGGTCCAAACTAAAAAAATAAAACCCCATATGTTCGTTTCCTGGTCAATAAAGATATTATGAAACATGTTGTGTACAAATAAAATATGTGCATCCAATACACTATTGAAACATTGTTATTATAATAATTATAACTATAGAACTATGTATGCAGTTATAGTTGAGCATCAAAAGCTAATAACTACGTTATTTTTGTTTAATTTGTACATATTTTAGCATTGGCTCTAAAAATGTAATCGTACTGCTTCAATGGAATAATGCGATTTGGTCAGTTTAGTTTTCGTGGACGATTGATGAATTTAATTAAATATTTAATACAGAAAAGGGGTAATTACGGAATATTAATTAAAACGCAGTTTATACCCGGAAACGTTTTATAATGTCTTTGTATTTGGGTTTTTTTGCAGTACAACTAATTTATACTTAAGAATGGGGCAAATAGATAGATTCCAGGACTGCTATGTTGATTATTACAATTATTTATTACGACATCAATTTTTGTTTTAGTCATATCTACTTTAACGTTTAATAATAATAATTGTTTAATTTAATTTAATTTATTTACTTTTAAAGTGCGGCTCATGATGTCGTGTACTTTTGATTTAAAGGAACATTCTTCGAAGAGAAAGATATCTCGAGGAAAGCGTGGTCTTGAGTCTCCATTGCGGTGCTTTTAAGTTTTCGGTAGAAGTTTTTAAATTGGGTTTTAATCCAATCAGACAAGGGCGCAATTCCATTGTCATTGTGTGTTTGGATATTTCGCATG